TATGAAAATCAAAAATCAATTTAATTTTAATAAAAAAATGAAGCAATTAGCCGAATATCAAAAAATAATTGAAAAAGGGGAATATTGTTGACAATTAAATAAAAAAAACTAAAATCAAAAAAAATTATGAAATACTCAGAAATAAAAGTGGAAATCCACCGACATATTCAAAATAATTTAGAACATTTTAGGGAAAAAATGATAAAGCACCAAGAGGAGCAAAAACGATATATCCAAGATAATTGAGGAATAGGGACTTGCGGATATTGTTGAAAAGACAAGCGGAATAAATCATATTTACTTATTACAAAAGGAGAATGAGACCCAAAAGGCGATAATATACATGAAATCGTATGTAAATCATGTTTATTTAAAAATAAAATCTGAAAATAACAAAAAAAACATGGGAAAGCCACCCGCCCAAAAAAAAGAGGGGCAGAACCAAATATAAAAAAAAATCATGTCAGTAAATAAAATTATCAGCAAATCAAAAAAATTAAGCAAATTATATGATAAATTAATGAAGTTTAAAATAGGAATTGATGAAAATTATAACGAATTACATTTTGATATTAAGCAAGCAGAACGAGAATTATTAAAAGAAGTAAGAATATTAGACGATAAAGGAATTGAAGCAAATGATTATATTGAAAGTTCGTTAATCAAAAAAGCGGAAAAAGGGCAAGGGTTAAGTTGAAGCAGTTTTTAACCAAAAAAAAGCAAAATTAAATAATTTTTTAAAAATCATGGAAAATCAAAATAACGCAGTAAGCGAAAATCAAAAAAATAGACATTGAAAAACAAAACGGCGAATATTGAATATTTTTTAAAGGAAACGACGGAGCGAGGCGGGGGATAAATTGGAGTTCTCACGCATTAAGCGGAAAAAGTTTAGCCGACGGTGGAAATGTCAAGGCTAACGATAGCGGATATTGACGGAATTATTTAAGATTTTGAGAGCCGAACAGCATTTTAAAATCTTATGAAATGACAAAAGAACGGACAGACTGGAAAGGGTTAGCGTGAAGTTGAAGTTTAGAGGTTGAAAATCGGCAAATTGAGAGACTAACGGCGACATGAAACAAAAACGAAGCCGACAGATTAGCCAAAATTGAGAGAGCAAAAACAAGATTAGCAAGATTAGAAGTAAAAATTGAAAAGGCAAAAGTCAAGGGCGAGGATATCCACGAATTAACAGAGAAATATGAAAAATTGGAAACAGCGATAATATATTATTAGAAAAAAGAACGGAGACCGCGGAGCCAAAAGAAAGACCGCGGAACAATAACCGAAATAAAAAAGTCATGGAAAACACACAAGAATTAAGCGAAAATATTATAACAATAATACGACAAGAAAAAAATCCTATCTTTGAAAGTTGAAAGCGTCATAAAATAGACCGAAAAACATTTAGAGAATGTAACGAAAAAAAAGTAATATGAGGAGGAGGGCGAACATTGGCGATTACAAAAATGCCCGAAAAACAAGAACCAAGATTATTAAGAATTGACAGAGCGATAGGCGAAGCAGTTTATAATCTAGCGGGGAAATCTGAGGAACAAGGCTATAATGAGTTTTTAAAGAAAAACCGCGAAATATGCGAAAAGCGGAGAATTGAGGAAGCGAAACGAGAAAAAAAAGAGCGGGAGGAGTATTGACAAAAAGAAATTGAGAAAAGAAAGAAAAAGGCGGGCATTATAGAGAAAAAACAACAAAAACAAACAAAAACAGCGGAGAAAGAAGCGAAAATTGAAACTTTGGAAAATGGTTCTTATAAATGAAACGGCGAGCAGTGGGAAAATATGGTCTATGCTTTGGGATTTATGGTAGAAATTGGAAAACGCGAGAAAAACCAAGAATTAAAACGAGGGGAACATTTAGGGGTCTGAAAGGACGACACCGACGGGAAACTCTATATTGGAATTAGCAAAAAAGTTATCAATAGAAAGAAAGCGATAGAATTAGCCAAAAATGCGAAACACAACTACAAGACAGGAGAAAAAGCCATATGAGACTGTAAAAAAAAATGTGAAATCAGAATCTAGTTAATATTTACAAAAGAAAAATCCAGCAAAAAATCCATAGAAAAAGAAAAACCGAAGCATTAAGACATTATAAAAGGCAAGAATTAAAACAAAAAACAGAAATATTAAAAGAAAAATTAAGCAAGTATTACGAAATATTAGGAAATAGATATGACAATATTAGAAACAAAAGCAAGAAGTATAACAAATGAGGAAATTAAAAAATGTTGAGAATGTAAACATGCGGGGTATCAATGAAACGAGGAAAGAGAAAAAGGAAAAAGAAAATTAAAATGTTTTTTCAGCCATGATATAAATGGAAAGCAAGAAATAACTTATTATTGTCAAAACCGAGAAGCATGTGGGAAAGACAAGAATAATATTTTTAAATCTAAATAAAAAATATGGAAAATCACCAGCCAAAAAGAGGGATAAAAGCAAATTATTATAAATTATAACGGAATACAAAAGCAAGTAAATATTTTAAAGTTATGGTATTAGCAAAAATAAAAAAAAGAATGTGTTATTACTCCAAAAATGGGAGCATGTATGAAAAGGCAGTAATGTTAGATGAAATGGTTGATTATTGCGGAAATGAAATGACGCGAACAATGTTTATAAATGGATTTAACAAAAAAAGGTCAATATGCGAAAGTGATACATGTTTAGAAAAATTAACGGCGGACTTAAATCTTTTGAAACAAGAGCAAGACAAAAAAAGGCGACAAATAAAAAACTTAAAAAATTGCGGGCGATTGGTTTAAGTGATAGCGAGATTTTGGCAAGGTGAGATAATTTAAAATAAAAAAATCATGTCAGAGATAAAAAAAATGGGAGGAGTAGGGAATTTTTTTACTTCTCAAATACAAATCCAGCAAGAAACCACAATTGAAAAACAAAAGACCGACCGCCGAACATATTTTAAAGTTTATAATGACCGAATGAAAGAAAAAAGGAAATTAGAACGATTGAAAAAACAGAAAGACCAAGAAAAAGAAAACAGCGAGAAAACAGCCGAATATTACAGAGGAGAAGCGATAAAAGTTTTAATGAGTTTCGGAGAATACACCGAATTAAACAAAGAAAAGAAACAATTATGATTAGATTTTAATTGAACTCTTAAAGATTGCCGAGAAATGATAAACGAGGGATTAGGTGATATAGTTATGATAATGAAATTAGAACAAGTGGCTAGTAAATTAATTAGGGATTATTGAGAAACTGCCAAAAGTGAGGAAAGAAGCAAAAGTAAAAGTTGGAATGTTTTATCCGAGGAGGAAAAAGACCGATTAATTAAGTATTGAGGTAGGAAAAAGGCGAATGTTGAAAATGGTTATAAAGAGGAAAACGAAAGACTAAAAACACAGGGCGATAGTTATTTAAAAGAAATTGAACGAGCAAAACACCACGAGGAACGAGGAAAAATTAAATGTCTATGCGGTTTCTGCGAACAAGAAGCGATTATTAGAGGAGAAGTAAAAACCAAGATTAGAAAAGAACAAAAACAAGCAGAAAAAGAGTTAGACGATTTTTGAGAAACAGACGAAACCGAAAAAGGCGAATGTTATCAGTGCGGAAAAGTTAAGAAATTAAACGAGGATAGGACATGTAAAAAATGCTCTGATTATTTATAATAAAAAATAGTGTAAAAAGTGTAAATTAAAAAATTATCAATAGTATTATGGAAATAACAAAAGAAAAGAAAATAGACATATTTTTATATGAAAATGAAAAAGCCCAAGAATTATACAAGGCAAATCAACATTTATATAATGAGGGTTGAAGTAGTAAAAGGGTTAGGAAGTTCGTTGATAAACAGTTAGAGGAATTGTTGAAAAATGATAAAGTTTATCAAAAGGCGATTAAGGAACAAGAGGAAAATAAGAAACAAATGGAGGAATTAAAAGCAGTTAAAGAATTAGAGGATAAAGAAAAATTGAATAACCGAATTAAAGAATTGAAAGAAGCGAGAGAGAAAGGCGAACAAGTTATAATTTATGTTGATGGAGCAAGGAACAATTGAGGCGGTAAATACGGAATAACCGACATTGACGGACGAGAGATTGAAAAAGGGAATAATAGACAAATCAGCGAGCAAATTGAAATAGAAGCATATGCGATTTTGAAAGGAGTAAGTTGAGCGAAAGACCAAGGGGATATTAAGAGTTTAAAAATTATGACAGATTGCCAAGTTTTAAGTTATGGCGAGGATTTTAAGAGTAAAACCCAAGCAGGTAAATATTTTTGATTAGCGAGAAAGATTGCCAAAGAAAGCAACATTGAATTAGAGTTTGAATGAGTGAGCGGAAAGGAAAACAAAGCAGATTATTTAACAAGGAATTAAAGAAAATTAAATACAAAAAATCAAAAAGTAAAAGTAAATAAAAATTATGACAAAAAAATTAAGATATTACAAAGTAGCACAAGAAATAAAAGACAGCATTAAGCAGTTGGAATTAGCAAAAATAGGAATTGAGTTTAAAATGTGTCAGCAAGCGATAACAAAAGAGGAGATAACAGATTTAAGAGAAATTACACAAGAATTAAGAAAATTATACAGAGATTACAAAGTTGAACCGATATTAGGAAACGATATTTGAGCCAAAAAACAAGGTTGGGAGGGTTTTATTGATTAATAAATTATGAAATTACATTTAACAAGAAAATTAAACGCGAATTGTTTTTCTTGCGGAGAAACAAAAGACGAGTGATTTACAAAGAAGTTTTTAATAATTGGTAGAGATATCCAAAGAAGTTATTTTTTGGTATGTTTAAAATGTGGTGATAACAAAGCGAGAGACAAAGCATTCTACAATGTAGAAAGTGCGAAATTATGATTAAAAAATAACAAAATTGAGGGTAAGTGAACGAGATAGGAAAAAAACTTCTTTCTATAATTCGCAGAAGTAAAAGAACGAAAAGAAACAAAATAAAGTAAAGTTATTATGGATATTATGGTAAAAATTATAAAGTGTAAATGCGGAAAGCAAGCAAAAAATTTAGTAGTTTATAAAAGTGTGTCAATTAATTTATGTGGGACACATACAAGAGCATTAGAAGTTTATTTAGAGGAAACAATAGAACCGATAACGACAGAAAGAAGTTTATTTAATGGTCTTTTTCTTTCCTTGTAGACCAAAAAGAATAAGGATAATATTTTAAAGTTATGGTAGTATTAAATATTACCTAGTCCATATTCGTAAGAATATAATCCGTGAGGATTTAGGTGATTAGCCTCAGTGCTTTTCAGCACTCCGTTAAGCTTCTCATAAAACCTACGGATAATGCCCTAGTCCGTAGCACTTTTATTATTCTTTAAACAGTTTTAAGGACAAGAAACAGTGAGGATAGTGTAAAAAGGAAGTTTAACATTGGCGAGGGGCAAATAACCTTTTGCTAGCAATAGCAAGAGTAGATTTTATAAATAAGATATGAAATTAACAAATAGAAAAACAATTCAAAACAAAAGCAAAACAAAAGAATTATTATTAAAAGAAACAAAAACAACAAAGAAAGTTAATTTTGATTACGAATTAAAGTGAGATTGTGAAGCATAAATATAACATAACGGATTATGACAAGATTAGAAAATAACACAACAATTTTAATAAGAGTAGCCAGTTTTGGCAAAGATTATCATTTAAAAGTAGAAGTCCAAGGCGATTATAAAAGTATTGGGAGTGTAGCCCGTGAGTTTACATTGAAATTAAAGAAAGGTGAAAATCCATTAGGCAAAGATAGTGAAAGTGGTTTAAATGAGTATTTTAATATTGATAACAAAGGACTAACGCATTATTATAAAAAATTAGGCAAAGTTAGTTATGAAAATCCGATTGTGAATGAGGAAAGTTATAGTTTTATAAGTTTAACCGATAATAGATTTGAATTAATTTTTCCTTATAATGTAGGATTAAAAATTAGCGAAAGTGGAAAATTGATTTGGTGATTATGAAACTTAAAAAAGAAACAAGGTTTTAATTTAGAAGTAGAAAGGCAAGGGTTAGGAGATAATTTTGTTTTAGAACCAAGAAAGGAAAAAGGCACATTGTTCTATAAGGTTAAAGGTGGTAAAAAATATTTGATAGATAGTAAATGAGGAGTAAGATATGAAGTTTTTATTGATAATAAAGAGAATGAAAAAGACTTATTCTTATTTATCGGTCAACATTACGGAAATACTTATTATATTGGTTGTAGATTACAGCCCCATAGCCATAATAAATACATGGTTGATATAGACCAAGCGGATTTTGAAGTATTAAGTGAGGGAAAATTAATTGGTGAATATACTCCTCCGAAAGAAGTTTTAAAACATTATTCACTTAATTAAAGTGTAAAAGTGTGTAAATATTGTAAATATAATGTTAGAAATTATTAAGGAGGATTTAAAAGACTTAAAAGAATTATTGAAAAGAAACAAAAACAACAAGAAACTAAAATTAAATTGAATAGAAAAAAAGTAAAATTATGCCAAAATACGGAAATGTAAATATTAACAATAGCAAGAAAACAATTAAAGTTTATTATTACTCCCCAATAGGAACATATTTAACCAAAGAAAGATTATTAGAGGGAATGAAGCCAGAAGTAAGAAAAGCAGTTGAGGAAGCAATGAAAAAAAAGTATAAGTGAAATTAAATTATAAATAGATATGAAAATAAAAGTAAAAGAATTAGTAAAAAATGAGGGGTTGTGAAACTTCTATCAGTGAGATAGTATTGCCGAGAAATTAAATAATTATAATAGTTTAATCAAAAGACAAAGAAGTTTATTATTCAATAAATTATTTTCAATGTTGGATTGGGATAAGTTGAAATGTAAGGCATTAGCAGAGTTAGCGGATTTCAATGGAAAAACTTACGAAACAAAACTTAACCAAAGAGCGATTAAACAAGCGAAAGTTTTACATGATACAGAGGAATTAAAAGAATGTTTATGGGATTTACTAGACCATAATTTCTTTGGATATGGCGGAGACGAATTGCCGAGGGAAGTATGGGATTTTAGTTGAGATAATTGGTGAGAATTAGAAAAGTGGTTTAATATTGAAATAGTTAACCATTTAGTTTTATTTATCCTTATGGAATTACCAAAAAATACCGAAAAAACAAGGTTAGATTTAGAATATGTGGCGGATTATTATGGATTTGACAGAGAGGATATTTATTTAAAAAGAATAGTAGAAAAAATATGAATAAATTAATAAAGGAATAAAAAATATGAAAACAATAATTAAATGTGTAAAGTGCCAAGCAGAAGTCCAAGTAAGCGAAGCACAATTTTATAAAAGTAAAGGGCATTGTAAATCTTGCTATTATGTGAGATTTGAAAAGCCAAAATTAATGAAAAAGATTTTTAAAGAAATAAACAAAAAAAACAAAATGAATATAACGAATAATAATTATTGTTTAATAGACGGAGACGGAAGCAGAGATTTAACCCCATGCGTGGGTTGTAAAAAGTTGGTAGAGGATAGGTATTTATGTAGCGAAGTGGAAAGTGAAAAAGAATATTGCTTTTCGTGTTTTCATGTTGAAAAAAAAATGAATTAAAAGAAAATGGAAGAAGTATTAATAAAAGCATTTTTAAAAAGAAATATAAAAGGCATGATAGATGCCACAAAGAAAAATATTAGGTCATTAAAGACAAAAGACGAAAAAAAAGTGATAATAAGTGAAAGCGATTGAAAAAAGTTAGTGAAAGTTTATGGTAAAGTTTACAAGATAGCAGATAGACTACATGAAAACTTTTGAAAAGACCATAATGATTACAAAATATTAGGCAGAGAAGCGGAGGAATTAAAAGGTATAATTAGTGATATTAACGACCAAAAACAAGAAGCGAAAGTTAAATTAGGTGAAATCTACGAAAAAGGTTTTAGGAATGGGATTGAGTTTGTAAATGATACTTGACAATTTGATTATGCGGAACAAGAGGAATATTTAATTAGAAATGGAGAAGTTAAAGAGGGTTTTGGTGAATTGTGAGATAGAAACATAGATAAAGAAATTAAAAAAAATATCAAAGGTATTAAATAATTAAAGAATAAGCGATATGAATACTAAAAACGAAAACAAAGCAAGAAAAGATTTTGTAAAAAATTACATAGAAAATAAAGAAACAAAAGAATTAAAGGATTTAGAAAAAAGTTTAAAGGTTATAATTAATGACTTGAAAAACATTGTTCTTTCGGTTAGAGATAAAAAATTTTTGGAACAAACCAAAGCAGAATTAAAAATTGTTAGAAAAGCATTGAGCGAGGATAAAAAATTAGAAAAGTTGATAGCAGAAGTGGAGCAAGAAAGTTATAGGGCGACTTATGATATTGTAAACGCAACATATCCTCTCCCCAATGTCTTTTTAATTAAGGATGAAATAGAACCATTAACTAGCAGAACGGGATTTTTCCCCGAACAAGATACCGATTTTAGAATTACATTGAGAAATGATATTATTGATTACTATGGAGGAGACGAGGACGATTACCACCAAAAACTTTTAACTGGTGAAATAACACCCCGAGAAGTAGGAGAAGCGGTGGCAACTTTATATGTCAGCAAAGTTTTTAATAGTGTTATAGAATACTATTTAAAAGGGAATGACGCTTGATATAGCAGTATACTTCATAGAAGTATAGAAAATGGAGACTTGTAAATGTGTAAATTATGAAAGATAACAATAATAAATTATAGGAATTATGGTAATAAATAATAATTGAGTATCATATAAGATATTAAATGATAGCAAAACAATAGACAAAGAAAAAGCAAATAGGGTAGCAAGGATAATATTGATTATTTTTCTTGCCTTGCTTCTTTTTTTTATAGGGTTGATAATGGGATTAAATATAAATTAACAAAGAAAGGGAAATCCATCCGCCCCAAAAGAGAGGAAAAACAAAATAAAAAACAAAATAAAAGATATGACAAAAGGAAAATTATTAATTGAAATAGAAAAAGGTTTAGAGGATAGAAAAATAACTCGTTTAGATTTATTAAAATTGGTGGGAATTGATTATTGTTTAGAATGTAGGGGATATTATTATGAGGAAAGAACCGCTGAGGGTTATTGTTTTTATTGTGAAAAAGAATGACAAAAGAATTTACGAGCCGAGGAAAGAGGATGAGAAAGAGTTTGCGGAGTTAATGGCGAGGAATTGTGAATAGACAGGGATAATAATTTAGTAGAAAATAAGTAAAATTTATGGAAGTAAAATTAAAAGAAATTAATAATAAAGAATTATTAAGCGAAGTAGAAACAAGATTTAAAGGAGGAATTATTAACCGCCGAGAATTGTTAATGCTAATAGGGATTAAACATTGTTTAGGTTGTGGTGATAATTGCGAAGAATGTGAAAAAAACTCTCCTACGATAGAAGAAAATGGTTATTGTCAAGATTGTAATATGGGCGGAGTTTTAATAAGCAGTGAATAAATGGAAAAAAAAGTATAATAAAAGAATATTTAAAACATATAGGAAAAATGACAAAAACAGCAAAATTAAAAAAGGAAACAATAATAAGTAAAAGTAATTGAAAAAAAATTTATGAATAAAGAACAAAGGAAATTAGCAGAGGTGTTAAAGGAAATAAATATGCTTTCCGCCACTTTATTTGAAGCGGAAAAACATTATAAGGATTTGGGTTGATACCGAGATTTAAAAGATAATTTAAAAAAAGCAAAGGATAGCATTAATGTTATGTTTAAAGAAGTTGAATAAGGTAAACATTTAAAATTTATGGTAGATATAAATGAAATAAAAAAAGAATGTGGTAGTTGTGGCAAAAAAGAAACCGACCAAGGAGCAGATGAATTTGTTAGGTGTCAAAAGTGTAGATATTATTTTTGTAGTTTAGCATGTTGAGGCGAAGGTGATGATTATTATTGCCAAGATTGTAAAAATGGAAGTTCAATTAAGTATAATTAATTCTAGCAAACTAAAATTCATTAATAGAAATAATAATTGGATACAAGAAATTAACAAATAAAATGAGTAAAGTAATAGTTGGCACAGTAATAATTTTTCTAGGATTAATGATTTGTTATTGGTTAAGAAAGAAAAATAATAAAAAAAGGATTGGTAGATTAGAAAGAGTTTTAGGCGAAAGTGATTATCAAAGATTAGCAATTGCCTCTTTTGAAAAGTGTTTAGATTGTGGAGGATGTGCCATGGATAGTAAAGGTTGTTGTTCTAATTGTGTAAAAAGTGTAAATTCTTCGGAAAATAATAATAGCACAGAAGCACATTGTCAAGGACATAACCACGAACATAAGCATCATAACCATTCTAATTGAGGAGAAGCGAAAGGATTATTATCTTTGGTTTTAATTCCTTTAATGAGCGGGATTATAATTTATCAAATAATTAAAAAAATAAGTAGTAAAGTAAATAAAATATGACATTAGCAGTAGTAAAAAAACAAGAAACATTAGCAAAATATAACCAAGTAAAGGATATAGAAGTTAAGTATAATTGAGTTGTTGACTACAATTATAATAAAACTTGTAATTGGTGTGGTGGCGAACGAGAATATGAAAGCAATTTCAGATTAAAAAGTTGACAAAAGATATTCAGTAAAAAACTTATTCTCTGTGAGAATTGTAAGATTAGTTTTTACCAAAATCCTAGCAAGAATGCTCCGAACTTCTACAAGTCGGAGATGAATTGCTATAAAACAATTTTATAGT